AAATTGAGGCACAGAACCAGCGAGGCAGCCTCACACTGGTCCGATGATCAAAGAGCGAGAGACAAGAAAGGTGAGGCTTGCCGAGCCATTACCCTTCAGTTAATCCCACATGTGTTTATCGGCCAGGCTGGCACAATAAACTATTTCAATGTGGAACCTGGAATCCACATGTCGGAGATGTGGAACCTGCCATCTGGTGGCAGGTGCTACAAAGGTGCGGCAGAAGATGGCAGGCGCCGCTGGTGGTGCATGTCACTAGGAGAGCCTCAGCGCAGCCTGCACCGTACTGTGGTGACCCGGCCAACAGGGCGGAGCTGTACTGCCTCTTGGGGTCCCAGCTGTTCTCATGCCTGCAGCAGACCGGGGGTCTTTCCCACCAAGACTCTGCAGGGCACTTCCCACGCAGCACCATTGGGAGCCCTGTGTCCCACAGCGCAGCCTTTCGGTTCATCGCAGCCCTGTTGTCACTGCCGGGCTCCGGGGACCCAGGCGGCTGGGTGAGTCTAGCTGCAGGCACAGTGTCAGTCAGTCCCACTGAGGGCCTTCCTCTTTGTTACTGCCCCTCTGCTTTACCAGCCCTGGTGTCCTTTTCCAGGGACTGGTCCCTCCTGACCACATGTCCAAAGCACCTGAGACCAGGTCTGCCATCCTTGCCTCTGAGGAGCACTCTGGCCGCAGTTCTTCCCGGACAGATCTGTCTGTTCCGGCGGTCCACGGTACTGCCAGCAGTCTTTGCCAGCCCGTCATTCAACCACATCAAGGCCCTTTCTCTCCCCTTCGAGAGTGCTGGGTCTTGCATGCGTATATATGAGGCAGCTGAAAATGGCCGGCTTGTCGGCCATATCTTAGTGTGCACAGAGACTGTTCTGCTCCTGGAAGAAGCCTTGTGCAGCAGCTTCACCCAGTGCAGCTCATTGTTTGTCCCTCGATGGCTGCTTCCAGGGGCGCTGACTGTGTCTGTGTGAAATGAAGCCCTGAACGGTTCCGTCTTTCCTCTCTGGTAGTGCTGTGGGATAGGCTAACCACAGGCTGGCGGTTCAAGACCACCAGCTGCACCACAGGAGAAAGATGAGGCTGGCTGCTTCTGTGAAGGTGACAGCTGAGGGTCACTGAGTAGGGTCTGACTTGATGGCTGTGGGTGTGAGTTTTGCCAGTTGTGAGGACTTGGGCTTTCTTTAAGTTGCGTTAGAATCTGTACTGAAAGCTGCATGCGATCTTTGATCTTTAGCAGGCTCTCACTGCCATAGCGTTGATCTGACTCAGCAGAGCTGCCTCTGTGAGTTTCCCAGGCCGTCACTCTTTGCTGGGGCAGAAAGTCTCATCTTTCTCCCGCAGAGCCGCTGGTGATACCGAACCACTGACTTTGCAGTTAGCAGCCCAATGTGTAACCACCGCCAACAGGGCTCCCTCAGACCTGATAGGCATAGACGGTGTGGTCAGAGAGCACACAGAGTCAAGAATATGGGGGGTTAAGGGGGTTGGTTGTTAGCCAGGCTGTGTTTTTGCTTGCAAATGACTCATGGCCATCAGTCAGCCTTTCTTTGGCTGCGTTGTGGTCCATTAGGGTACTGCTGTCCCTGAGTCAGACCCCAGCTCCCGGGGCACTGCCCTCAACATCAGACCTAGTACTGTAGAGTCGCCGTCTCAGAACGCCTGACTGCCGCCCCGTAGCCAGAGGAGCCCATGCCAATCTCTGCTGTCTGCACGCGCAGGGCCGGGCTGTGTGGCTCCTGCAGCCAGACTATTGCCAACCGGCGCAGTAACCATGCTCCCCTGTGTGGTTCCGGCGGTGACGCTGCTACTTGTTGGGACCTGTCACGACCCGCCCAGGGTTGTGTCCTCTCTGTCTCCACATAATGATCCCAGCAGCCAAGTTTGTTTTGAAGTGTTGCCCTCAGTAGCATGCAGTGTGACCCCTGAGTGGTGTGTCTGCCCCTGAGCAGTGTATGTGTGTGTCCCCCTGAGCGGTGTGTGTGTGTGTCTGTCCCTGAGCGGTGTGGTGGGACATTTTTCTGTGATGAGTGTGTGGTATGGTGTGGCTTGCTGGCAGGATTTCCCTGCAGTCTACGTGATGAGAGCCAGATGATCTGGCCATGTGTGGCAGCTGAGAGAGGGCGGCCTCTCACTCGTCAGGGGACAGCGGGTTTCCTGCTGGCTCTGGAGGTCATGAGGGGCTACGGAGAAGGTCCCCCCTCATCCCCACAATTTGCCGCCCCTGGAGGGCTCAGGAGATGAAGCAGCTGGGAACAACAGCAGAGCAATTACGCAAGGTTCTGCATGGCGTGCTGGCCACCGTGATCAGTGCTGACAAAGGCATCTCTGAGCCGGTTCAGGCAGGCCGTTGCAATGGGTGGCTCTTGGGTGCCCAACGGGTAGCTGGCCGCTGTCCCCAGCCATGGAGCTGGGAGACCCAGAAGCAGCAATGTGGTTCTCCGTGGTTGGCCGAGCAGAGCCAGGGGTGAGTCTTGCCAGCGCTCTGTCTGCAAGGAAGAATGTGTGCAGCCCAGCTTGTCTGAGCCTGTGGGTGAGTCCCTTCTCCAGGAAGGGGCTCTCCCCTTCTTGTCTGTCTGTCATGTGGGAAGGGGCGGTGATGCAAGGTCATTGGGGAAATTTGCTGCCCACTGTGGCGCCCCTGCTCGGGCTAGCTGAGGGACCTGGAGGGCAAGTGCTCCGGCCACAGGGGGCA